ATTTCTACCATAATGGAAAAATTTAAGTTTGCTCTTATTGGAAAATTTCAGTAGAGGCACCCACCTATGAAAGTTATCAGAAAGAGCGTTGATGATCTTAAACTAGTAAGCAAGTAGAGAGTGAGACTCATGGATGGGAGACATGTGTTGATTCAACTGACCTTGGCTGAAGACTACACCCGGATTTTCTCCAAGAAATATCTTCATATCACAGATAAAGTAATGAAGTTACTCAAGTGGTCTCCTGATTTTGACCCAAATCATGAAACTCTCACTGTACCGGTATGGTTTAGTCTACCTGGTCTCTCAACCTACATTTTTTTAACCATCAGGTTCTCTACTCTATTTGGGTCATCTTTGGGGACCATTTGAAGCTAGATCTGCCTACTTTCAACTTAACCAGACCTTCTGTGGCCAAAATACTTGTGGAAAGAGATATTACTTCACCTAATATTACTGAAATCTGGCTGGGCACAACCCATAATGGATATTGACAACAAATCGTCATGAAATACAAACCCCCATATTGTACCCACCGTAAGATGTTTGGGCATATCCTTATGTTTGGGCCCACCGTAAGATGTTTGGGCATATCCTTGATAAATGCCACAAGCTTCATCCTAATTTAAAATCTAAGGTTCAAGTGAATAAGGATGGGTCTAACCCAACTGCTCTGGATATTTTAATTTCACCTGGGGAGGATACTACCAGACAGGAGGTATTGTCGCCCCTGTGGACCCCCCCAATGACACTGTTGTTACTATTACTGCGAGTGATGCGATGCCGACACCTTTAAACCACATATAAAACAATACTGATTGAATATTACCTACAAAGAATAGTGTCCAGATTGATAATCAAGAGAACTTCGCAGCTCCCCTTCTTCAGTAAGTATCTGGTGTAGAGGCAACTCATACTTCAAATATGCTAAAACATATTGTGGGTACTACAGTTGGTAATCATTCTGCTTCAGCTCTACCACCTCATCAGACTGATTCTTCCGATGATGAATGACAGGTTTACACTTCTAGGAGGAAGAAGAAGAATGGAGATCTACTTGAACTCAGGAGTCTTATGGATGTTACTTTGGTTACTTTTGGTAATGGTACGCACCTTACCAATCTGTTAGCTGGATCCCTTCCGAGAACTAGAGCTAGAGACAGTACTAGATTGAGACGACTCTAACTTTTTCAGCGCCCTGGTGGTTTTGGGTTTTTTTTATTTTTATATGAACTCTTTTTTAACTTTTTTGTGTGTTGTACCAATGTGAGTTTGGTGTCTATTTTTAGGCCCACCCATACAGCATGTATATATATATATATAAAGAGCCCAATGACTAATATATTAAGTAGAAAGTAGGATACAGATAGATTGTGTGGGAGAGCTCAAACATGACACCCTGACCACATGATAACCACCACATTCAAATAATTCCAAAAAGAGAAAATACAAAAAATACATGAGAGACAAAAAAAATCAAAAAGTGACAAAATACAGAGTATCAGGTAGCTAGAGAGCGACCCAATTTTGTCTTGTCTTTGTCTCAGTTCTAAGGAAGGAGCCAGCTAATAAATTGGTAAGATAAGTGTCATTTCCAGTAGTAACCAATGCGTCATCCAATAAGTTCCCGAGTTCGAGTCGGCCTCCATTCTTCTTCTTCCTCCTAGAATAAACCTGACATTCCTCATCCGAAGATTGACTCACCTGATTAGTGGATTGGTCTAAAGTGTGTCGGACATGTGTAGGGTGTTGAACATTAGAAACAACTACTTGTTGTACTAGATGATCTTTAATTGGATCGAATGAGCACTCTCGTGTGTCTTGGCAAGTAAGCGTCTCTTCTTCAATAACAGTGAGTGGTATAAGCACATTTGGATCTGTACCTGTAGTATGGTGTTCTTCATCGTGTTCTTCATAAGAAACTACGGTATTGGAAAGAGGATCGGGTTGCACCTTCTCAGCAGAGATGGTAGGTGACTGATCTTTAGCGGCATCCAACCTTAGATGAGGATGCGAGCGATAACAAATAGTAGAATTCTGACCAAACATACTACAATGATAGCAATAAGAAGGGTGTGGTTCCATTTCAACCTTTTGTCAACCTGTTGTGAGTGGCGTCAATTCATACCTCATCCGGAGCTGGTTGAGTGATTTCTTTTTAAACTAACACATAAACCACAGAAGATCTGTTGACAGTAAGCGTAGGATAATTAACCTTAAGAGACTTACCGTAAGCAGTTGCTAAGGAGTGGAGAATTTCCAAGTTGAACATATGTAATTTTAACCCCAGAAACTTTATCCAAACAAGAATGATAGGGGACTCCGCTTTTTTATCAAAATCGACAGTCCACTTCAAAATTTTCATAAAACGATTGTCGATCTTGATAACTTTTTGAGAAAATATGCGAGTGTAATCAACATTGTGAGATAATTGAAAAAGTATATGTCGATCGTCAAGTAATCTAATATTTCAACTGCCCAATAACTTCATAGCATCAAAAACTTTCCAAATGACCTCAAGTTTTGAGTAACCATAAAGAAATTTTTTCATTATAACAAAACGCCAAGAGGACACGATAGTACTGGTTTCAATCTCAGTGAAAATAAGAGTAGACTTCCCATTTTTTTTTACGAAGTTTTTCAGTAAAAGTATGATCACCACCACATTCAAGAGCGTC